AAAAATTAGCTTGATCCTGCAAAAAATAACAATCGGCCCAAATGCTATATACGCCATTTTTGCACAAAAGCCTTCAATTGATAAGCAGTATAATTTATATTCTTGTAGATGGAACAAATTTCTTCCTTCAATTAAAGTATTTAATTCCAAAATTAAAATAATTCACCAGCTTGAGACAATGATCGCAAAATCAAATAATAAATTAAAAGCTCACAATATGAAAAGGGGCAAGTACAAAAACAAATAGATTGATATAGAATCTCGTGTTGTTGCTGCGCTGAACTAGTATTATATCTAAAAGTAGAAGAGAGTTAAGAGGAACTGAGGTGTGTGTGCATGTCTGTTTGGTTATAAATTATGGATGTTTATAAAAAAATGTAAGTGACCTCAAATCAAGAAAAAATAATAAAATACAAAAAAGAAGAAAAAGAATGATACAAATAATAATTATATTGTTGGAAATGTAATTAACACATTGTAAACACTGATATTGATATTGCTGTTTTTAGGTGAAGACAGAAAGAGATGATGAGTCCAAAAGTGGACAATCCCGGACACCAGAAATGGGGATTTTTGAGCTAGTAGAAAAAAAGTTCAATCATGAAAAACCAAACATAAAATCAGAGTTAAACAACATGGCATTGTCTGATTCAAATTGTATAAAGAACCATCGTCACGAATGTAATTCCAGCAACAAACTGTCCAAAAAAATGCCTCCATCATCGCCTTCTTTAAAACAGAGTACACTAAGTGCAGAGAGTTTCTCACCAAAGAAGAGGCCTATGTTGCATTCATACCCAAAACAGGAACAGTCTTTACATTATACCACACCTCTATCCTGTAGAGTTCCTTTGAGAAAATCAGAACTTGATGGAAGAAGCAAGGAGGAAGGCCTTATCAAACGCTTCACTGAAAACCAAATGAATACCATTCAATCTCTAAAGGAGGAGAATTTCCATGAGTCCATCTTGGCTACTGTTGCTAGTTTTATGCACCATCACCGTAAGCCTCCACCTGATCTTTTGTTTTATCTGCTCAATAATATTCTGCTATCAAAGCAAAGTAAATGTGGTACAGAGTGTATACGAATTCTAAGGCAAATTCAAGTCTTACATCCTGTTGTAGCAATGGAGATGATACGCCAGAAAATCACATGGGAATTTGTTTCGATGGTGGTGAAGCTATCAGGATGTGGACAGGTTCACAAAGCCTACTCTTGCCTTGAGGTAAATGCATCAATGGCTTTGTCTTTCCTTGTCAGTGTAATGGAGGAGGAAGTTAAGATAAAGAAGTTCAGCCTTGTGAAGACGAGTGCAAACAGGCTTCTGTCTGTAAGCAATCAATCAAGTCACATTCATGATGTGCTCAACTGGATTGGACAGTCATTAGCGCATCACAAAGGAGAGCGATTAGATCAAAACTGTGGGCAGAATTTTTGCCCTCTGTATTTGCTACAGAGAATTCTTACGTTGTCACTTTTGGTCAGTGACCGACTGGAGGATAGTGCAACTAGAATAGCAGATGATTTGGTTGTGGTTTATGTGGAGCAGCAGTCCATTACACACAAGACTCTACTCCTGCAGTCTGTTCAGTCCCATCTTCTGAAGACAAAGCTAATTGAAGTCATTGTAACTAACTGTTGTCCACTTGATGGTGATCAGTTGAAAGTTGAGGGCATTTCTAGAGTAGGGTTGAGACATATTGTCTTTACCGACTTCAGGCGTTCCCCACCAGCAAATTCATCCTCAATTCATGGCCTCGACAATGACCTGTCTGGTAACACTGTTGCTAACACCACCAACTGTGAAGAGTTTGTTATGCTGCTAGCATATTGGCTGCAAAGCTTTGTCTTTTGTCGCAAGAGGTCTCTTATGAAAACCACTTCATCTGATTTGCTGCAAAACTTGTCAATAGATGACATAGACGTTTTGAATGAGATTGATGACGAAGTTCTGATGCTGAGGGTACGCCTAGAGTCCTTATGCAACCCTTTGCCTCTGTCCTCAAGAAGCTACCAGTTGTTGGAATTAATTTCATCACTAAAAAGCTTTGCTCTAATGCTGCCGTAGTTGACAGCTGAAGTGAAGCCTTATCTTTTTAGCAGCTCTGGCTTGCTGATTTGTTCTGCGAAGATTTATGTGCAGTGTTGCCTAGTAAGCATATTATAAGTTGAAAGAAGTAAAGTTTAAATGTATGAGCCTTGTGTTTCTGTTAGAAGATTAAGAAATATGACAGCATTTCAGGCTACCTGCAGTTAAGTTAGAGTAAAAAGATTGAAGTCTGGTATTATTATATCAAGTATTATTAATAATTGTAATAGAATAGATTGCTTATGTATTAGATGTATTAGATTACCTCCAGGTGGGGAGGACTCCCACATGTCATTGACAGGGTTGCTTACAAGTTGTGTCTTTTAGTCACCTAAAATGAGCACTGTTTGAGCTGGCAAACATATGACAATTGATCAGTAGTTGTTGTGTTGGTAATGGTACTTCATGAAGCAGAATGACAGATGTTATCCAGGGATTTACGTAGAAAGTGTCAAATTTAGTATTGAACATTTAATTTGTTATTCGGAGGCAAGGATTTATTCTGGACACATGCACAAGTTATCTCCCCACATCTGATTGGTTCATAAACAATGGAATTGAGTCATGCTTGGGAGCCAGTACATACAATGGTAATGCTAATGAGAAGTACCACCTCTATTGCAGCATTTTCATGGCTGACCATAAACTTTTCAAAGATAAATTTCATGCAAAAATCACAAGCTCGCTTTTAATGTTTCACAAACACTGGAATTAAATGGGCTAATGTTACAGCTTGCCCATTCTCTGAGCCATGAAACCATCCCTTTAAAATTTGTGCTCAACTAAGCCAATTTTATGTGGGAGTCCACTTTACATGTATTGTTGGCCTATTACTGTAGTTTCAGTTGAAAAGTGTTTTCAGGTGTTATTTTTGTGTCATGAATAAGTTGTTTCACTTTGTACGACAACAACACAACAACACAAAACAATGCTTTATTTATTCTAGACTCTTAATACACATTTGTAAAGAAAATCTTCGATTATTGACTTCTGTCGAGTGGCTTTTGTTCTAAGTTGGTGTACCAGCTTTCTAAAGTCAGTTGCTGAAAATAGTTTGTATAGCATGTTAAGTATTGAGCACAGTCTCAGTAAATTCTGTGGTTTGTAAGCTGATGATGTTCAGAATGTGATTGTTAACTTCACAATTTCTTGTTGCTTGTTTGTGTTCAGTTAGTCTCACACTACTTAAGAGTTCTGCCAGTCTTGCTGATTTACAAAGCCAGGCAGTCGTAACATTTGATCTTTTAAACTGCTTGTGGCTGTTGTTGGGTTCATGCCTGTCTTAAACTTTGGTCAGTTAGTGTTGTAATGTAGTTATAGGTCTGTGGGCTGTATGTGTGTTGTAGGGCTTTGACTCTAACTAGTCTTACAGCCAAATCAGTTTCAACTGACCTCACTTTTAACACCAACTGACAAAGTTAACTCTTTTTCACTACACTCTAAAGAGGATTTCTGCTCAGGCTTTCCAAACATTAGTCAAAAACTGATCTTTTCACAACTGTGCTCACCCAGATGATCACACTAGACAAAGTATATTCTTGACTGTTAAAATATCTACTAACCAGCTTTTGAGTTCGTGGCAATAGAAATATATTTAAGAAATATAAGACACCTTTTCTCTATGAAATTATACATGGTATAGAAGCCATATTATTATATGGCTAGCTCCGTGAGCTGGCAAGATGAAGCAAATCCTGCGCTGTGATTGGCTACTTGAGCGGGCAAGATGGAGCTATCTTGCCCGCTTGGGACTACCCGCCTTGTCCTTCGAGAAAACTTTCCCTGAAAGCCATATAAAAAATTCTTTATTGACCAAGCTTCTTCGGTCAAGATGGCTGGATATTGGACTTGATCTTTTTTTGCGAGTTTATGGACCTTGACTCCATCTTGGTCCATAAACTCGCAAAAAAAGAACTTGGCCAATATCCAGCCATCTTGACCTCACAATTGGTCAATAACCCATATAGCTGAACCTGTGAGCAAGCAGTCTAAGCAGTTCCACCAGATCTTTCAGGAAAGTTTTCTTACTGGCCACCCATGTAGCCTGACTGCTACTTTCGTTTGACTACATAATGGTCAAGACCAAGATGTTTAATTTAATTGGACATCTCATATTATTCTCATACAAACTATCATGCTACTAGATGAATGAGATGTAGAGTACTCCTGGGTACTTGGTTTAAGATATCTTTTCAGTAGGCTGTCAATAGTTTTCAGCCCTTTCCATCACTTATACAATGATTCAATACTACCACTCTCTGTGATATGGTCCCCATAATGTTATCGCACAAATGCCCAATCATTAAAAAAAAGTTGTGGTGGTCCTTGTTACTGCAGAGTGCTCCATTGGGATGGTTTAGGAGGCTGAAGTATGCTAAACCTCTAACCCTCTCCTTGTGGTGCTATTCTCTTTAGAACAATGGCATTTGGTCTAAATGTAAGTGCAGATTAGTTAGCATTAATGCTGACTACATATTGGGTGGAAGATACCTTTTATACAGGATCACACACAAACACCGAGTGCTTTTCCTTTTGGTATAACACAACATATAAGACACAAGCACTCTGGCATCTTTAGCATGTTACACTTCATTATCGTCTCCAGAGCCATGTGGGTTTATATGTCGTAGGATACCACTCTTATTGTGTTGTTCCAGAAAATATCCATACCCCTCCCATGGAAGGTTTTTAAGCTTGAATCCCCCACCCCCTTGGAAATTCAGATTTAGCAACATACTTTCCTTTAAAAATTCTGGTCTTTAATACCCCTCCCCTGGCAATTTCCATTACCGGTAGTATTCCTTGGGGTGGGTATGGATATTTTCTGGAGCTGCA